TAGATGCCAGGAGAAAAGTAGGAGCAGATGTCCGTACTCCATCCAAATGCCACCCCTAATGAAAGATACTGAGTTTTTAATCATCTTTTGCGCTAATTTTTATAAGTGCTGGCACAACATGTTCATATCTCAGACGACGTGCATTAAAAATAGAAATAAGACTGCTGTCTTTCAAAGAGCTTTTCATTGCCATTGTACAGAAATGTCAGGATTATAAAACAATGGTCATTCATTTTATGTGCTTTGATAAAACCATTTCAATTAATTACTGTGGAAACGGATTGTTCACAATGTTCTCAATTTTCTCTCTAAAAGCTATGCCACAGGTTTCTGAGAAACCTGAATATGGAAACCCAAATCGGACAATGAGATAGATTTTTTTTTTTGCCTGAAGCTGCTATTGTTTCATTAGTGGATTGCAAGCTAGATTCAGGGCTTGTATTTTTATTATTACTTTGTTCAGCATCCAGTCCTGTGTTACACAAAACCATACTACTTTTTAAAATGAACTCTCTTATAACAACAGATTGTTGTGTCTTCTGGCCTGCCTCGGGGGAGCATCCTTGCTCCATTAATGTTTAACAATTACACAAATGGTTCTTGTGGGTTTTTTCGGGCTAATTACACAAATGACTGCCAAAAGGGACAGAGAGTTTCATCTACGCTGATGATTGTGCCATCACCGCTCAAGCAGTAAGCTTTGAATTAATTGAATAGAAGCTCTCTGAAGCTTTAGGTGCTCTTACTGCCTATTACAAGGAAAACTAGCTGATTTTTTATTCATTTAAAATGCAGATGTGTGCTTTGCATCTTAAGAAGTATGTCTGAGAATCACCTGGGAAAGAATCCCACCAGAGCATTATAGCAGACCAAAATACCTGGGAGTCACTTTGGACTGTGCTTTTACTTATAAGAAACAGTGCTTGAAAATCAAGCAAAAAGTGGGTGCCAGAAATAATATCATTCGAAAGCTGACTGGCACAACTTGGGGATCACAGCCAAATATAGTGAAGACATCTGCCCTCGTACTCTGCTGCTGAATATACATGCCCAGCATGGAATACATCTCACCATGTTAAAACAGTGGCTGTGGCTCTTAATGAGACATGCCACATTATCACAGGATGTCTACGCCCTACACCACTGAAGAAATTATACTGTTTAGCTGGTATCGCACTACCTGACAAGTAGCAGCCAGTAATGAGATGACCAAGGCATTGACATCTCCAGCCCATCCTTTGTTTGGATATCAGCCAGTAAGCCAATGCCTTAAATCAAGAAATAGCTTTCTAAGATCTACAGAGCTATCCACAGGAACACATCAGCAAGCAAGAGTCCAAAAGTGGCAGGTTAAAAGCCAGAACCTCAATCAGTGGCTGATACCAAATGAGAAACTCCCTCCTGGGCACACAGAAGCCTGGGTGACTTGGGAGGTGCTGAACAGACTGTGTTATAGTATCGTGAGATGCAGAGCTAACCTTAAGAAATGGGGCTACAAAGTGGAGTCCGTGACATGTGAGTGTGGAGAAGAGCAAACCATAGACTACTTACTGGAATGCAATCTGAGCCCTGCCACATGCACAATGGAGGACCTTTTTACGGCGACACCAGAGGCACTCCAAGTGGCCAGCTTCTGATCAAAGGAAATTTAGTATAATCCCAAGTTTTTAACTTTGTGTGTGTTTTTAATAAATTATAATTTTAATCTCAATTCACTTCTGACACAATAAATAAAAATCACAAGAAACGACTATACAAATTATAAAACAGTACACAGGGACAGTATTGAGAGAATATTTATTTGCTTTCAGTGCTAGTTTCAATAAATATTGGTGTCATATTTATGTCTGAGGTAAAAGAAATTAAACATACTCAAGAACGTAGACCCATAGATCTGTGCAGTGTTGTTTTTTTTTCCACCATGCAGAAATGTTTTGTCATTTCAAGAGAAATTCTTGCTTTTATTTGATATTACTAAAACTGAAAACAGAACAAAACCCTTTTTTCAAGGGAAATTTGTCAAGAACAGTTATTGCATGCTGTTTTCAGTGGGCCCTTTGAAAGCTACAGTAGATCTAGGAAACTCACGCATTAAGTGTTACAGGAAGAAACCAGTTGTGAGGATGTACTTTAGGGCCAAGCAAGGTAAACAGTGTTATGAAAATGACAGCACATATTGCACATTCATTATCCTCATACTATATGCCCTGGAATAGCTAATAAGCATGGTGTTTTACCTTTGAACATGCATCCCGTTGGCTTTCAATGAGGTTACACCTGGGTTTAAAGCTAGTCAAGGACTTAAGAGCTTTGCTACATCAGGCTTTTCCACAGTACTAGTTGACCACAGATGAACACTGAATGGGAAATGACTCAGCTTTAGCATCTCCACACTGATCAGAAGTGTCTGGAGATTTGGCACTGAGACCCTGCCTCAGAATTGGGTTTGCATCTCTTCATCAATCAGATGTATGGACATTTCCCCTAAATGAAAAATCCCATAAATATTATACTGTACAGGGATAGAATTCTACATTCTGATGTCATGATTATTAGCAGCCTGAGAAAATCCGCAGCATAATTCTACATACTACTTTAGATTAGATCCAGATTTAACCCTATTATAGGGCATCCTGCTCTGGATATCCTATATGCTTGTGCCGATCCTTGTGATAAAGGAGAGGTCTACTGTGGGGAATGTCCAAACACATTGAAATTACCCTTACCAGAAGAACCAAATTATTAGAAGGGATGGAAGAATAAAGAAGAGTTAAAGCAGTGGTTCTCAACCTGGGGTCCCCAGATGTTTTTGGCCTATAACTCCCAGAAATCTCAGCCAGTTTACCAGCTGAAGGCCAAAAACATCTGGGGATCCCAGGTTGAGAACCACTGAGCAAAAGCATGGCTTGTTGTATATAACTTCAAGTCAGCTCTGGCTTATGGTGAGTGTATCATTTTGTTTAAAGCAGTGGTTCCCAAGCTTTTTTTGACCAGGGACAACTTTGACCAGGGACAACTTTGACCAGAGACCACTTTGACAAGAGGCCACTCTCCAACATCAGTACCAAAAAGATTATGAATCAATTTTTGGTCAACTTTATATTTGGTTTGGTTACTTGGGGTGCTGATTCAGAAAATTGCATTGGAGAGACCACATTAGCTCTTGTTTCTGATACAGAACATATGCCATCCTGTAGCCTGCATCTACTCGCCCACAGAAAACCACATTTAATAACCTAGAGCTGATGTGGTAGTAGTAATCTTTTGTGGGTAGTCAGCCTCTCCCCTCCTGACATCTCTCTTGCCTCAGCACTCACTATAAGAGGGTTTCTTATTGCCATGTAGTTTCGAGACAACAGTGTAGTAATGGTGAGTCCGCAGACCATATTTTCGTTCTTGCAGACCACTGGTGGTCCATGGACCACAGATTGGAAGCCACTGGTTTAAAGCAAGATTTAGACAGAGGTTTGCCATTGCCTTTCTTAACCACCGAGAAAGTATGACCTGCTAAGGATCATCCAGTGGGTTTCCACATATGGACACCTCAATATTTTTAATTGTTATTTTAAACGGGTAATTGCCATTTTAGGCTGCTGTACTGCTTCCTTCTTCTAAAAATTGGTTTGTGAGCTTCTCACAAGGGGCCGTTCTAGTCTCTGTGCTGTTACATTTGCTCATATTTGCATTTTTGTCCACATTTATACCTCAGAACTAGTGGTTATATGTCAATATTCACTTCAGCTATGTAAAAATGGAATAGTCATGGAATCTGTTGATATTTCTGAAGTCATATTCCAATGTGCAGAAACACCTCGTAGTATAGAAATACTCAATCTGTCCACCTGTCTATCCATCCTGCACTTCAGACAGTAGGCAAGAATTACCATGTTTGAAAAGCATCCCTGCTTGGGGAACAACAGCATGTAAGACAAGGGTAATATTCTTTATGCAAGTTTTTATATGTATTTGTAAAGTATGGGCATAATTTCAACATGTGATCCCTATGCTTCAGGTGATGCAGTTATTGGTAGTGTGTCAAAAGTTGTATGCAGAGGCCTCCTCCAAAATGCTCTACTATTGTTGTAGGCAACTGGTATGACACAGAGAATGAAAAAAATAATGGAATCTCTGCAGAGAATAACCTTTTGTGGGAATGGAATTACAATTAGCTCACCTGTCATTTTATATCCCTCACAATGTTCCTGACCTTATATTGTTACAGGGAATAATGGGCAAGAAATGAGAGATGTCACAGATCAATAGTGCTGTATATTTTAAGAAAATTGTGTGTAGTGTACTGCTTGTGGAAAAGAAGGATGAGAAAAATATTCAATGCATTTTCTCAAAAAATATTCCCTTTTCCAGAATCATGTGTTGTATCCACATCTAGCCCTTGATCAGAAGCAAATATTGCAATGCAAGTACAAGCTGGAAGAATCAAAAGTGTTTGATCTGTGGTAAACTGTAGTGTAGATAAATTCTTAAAAAAAAAAACAAATCAAGGAATAATGCTCTGTAAATCCACGTCATTGGGTCAACTAGCTCACATTGGGTATTTTAGCAGCACTGAAATATTCTTCACATCAGTAAATCATCCTCGGAAGTTTCTAGTCTGATTTGCAGACTTCGCCCTGACAAAAATAAATAGTTATAGGATCACCACCCCATCTCTACTACTCTGCTAAAAGATAACTTCATATTCAATAAAACTCTCCTGTTCACAATAAAATAGACATTAAAAAAATAAATTCTTCATTTTCATTATCTGTCACAGCACATATAAACATATTAAAGGGCAGGGTGTAGCTCTTGAGTTCCTCATCTGTAAGTGCAGCAGTCTGACAGATTTCAACTATTGGTATGTATGCTGGTGAGGGTCAGTTGACCCTTAAAATCAGCTGGCAAGCCCAATACCTGTGAACCAACACAAGCTTAACATGGAAACTATGACCTAGGATTTCATTCCACAAGGAGGAGGGATGTGGGGGCTCTTCTGTGACATTCAGTGGCCTTTAATTTAACAACAGTTCCCATTCCACATTAAAATCCAACATCTCCTTTCCACCTTAAATACTGAGTTTCAGCCATTTCTATGTGCATGGAGAGCAGTGAAGCCGATTCTTCCCTGGCTTCACAAGTCTTCTTTTCTATACACTTCAAACACGAAATCAACCAGAAGCATCCCTGCATCATTTGACAGGCTCCATGGGATTCCACCTTTAAAATGAATAGAAGTGATAAGATGACTCTCCCTACTTCTCTCCAGCCCCTTGTGGGGTGAGGTTGCTACCAACCCCAGATAGAAAAGGCCTATTGAATCCATGACATTTATGTAAGTGCTGACATAATATTTCCAATGGATTCAATGAGTAAACTCTAGCTAGGGCCAACAATTGGATTTTAGTCTTTATTGTTTTCTTTTTTGAAACCCCAATCTTTTTTAAACTTTAGAAACAAAACACAATTTTATGCTTTCTTGAAAATGGAAGAATAAATATTGTACATGTTCATGTGCTTCATTACTTTATATTGTGAGCTGGACCACCAAGGCTAGAAGTGCTTTGTTTAAGAAACACTGTGTGACATGCACTTAAACGCTTTAGATATTTGGATAGTTGGAGTAATCCACACTGAATTTATGAAGCTACAGCTAAATGTCTTTGTGCTTTGTTTCTTGGTAACTCCAAGCATAGAATAATTTGGCTGGCATTCTTATTGTTATCATTATATTCTGCAAGCTATTGATAGCAGACATGACACTACCCTGAACAACCGATTTGGAGTATTAGTGAAACCTATGGACTGTGTTTCAGCACTCCAGGCTCATGCAGTGTGTGGCATTTCTGGGGCAGCATGGTTCACATTACAGTGGTACTAGGTGGTGAGGTGTCAGGCTCAAGCTTTGATCAGCATCAGCTTGTGGCCATCAATACTCTATAGAGTTCACTATTGCCAATGGTTCATCGAAAGTTGCCAACATGATTTGCTTCGTGGAAGGTATAGAGATGATATCCCCTGCTTCGGTTGGTGAGTGAATTGCATTGTCTAACGAATCAGCTATAAGGTCCGACTCCTCTTCTTCGTGGTCTTCATACAGAGTATTGATATGCAGAAGAGGGTGCGTTGGGTTACAGTTCAGGGTGGGCATTGGCTCAGCCTTGCTGACCTGGGGCAAAATGACCTTTGCTGTAACACCAGCAGTTGCTATATGGTTGTGTTTACAGGTGAGGAAAGCCGCAGCAGCAGGCACAGTTCTGCATGTTTCATGTGAGTAAAGGGTATCTTTGCCAGGAATGGAAGAGTCTGAAAGAGAAACAAAATGCATGATGAATTCTCACCACTCTGTCCACTTCTTATGTTGCCATGAAATCAATTCTGGCCTTAACATTTCATGTTTCTCGTTTCTCACAGTTGGTTGAGGAGTCACTCTTCTGTGTGCCTTGATGCACAACCACAGTTTAATAACTATGGGTTGCTTTAGGATCTTCCCATATGCATACTTCACTGGGCTAGCAGATACATTTGCCTCCAAAAGTCTTACTGCTCTTAAAGTGGTCTCTGATACCAACCAGCCATTACAGGCACAATCATCTCTCTATATTGATGGATTCTGTATCCATGGATTCATCCATCCATGATTTGAAAATATTCCAAAAACATACCTAATTTTGCTATTTCATATAAGAGACACAGTCTACTATGCCATTGTATTTAGTGGGACGTGAACATCCATGGATTTTGGTATCCACAGAGTCTCCTGAGACAAAACACCAGCAAATGCCAAGGTACCCATGACCAGAGGGAATCTTTCTTCTAGGCCAATGGTTCTCAACCTGTGGGTCCCCAGGTGTTTTGGCTCCTAGAAATCCCAGCCAGTTTACCAGCTATTAGGATATCTGGGAGTTGAAGGCCAAAACATCTGGGGACCCACAGGTTGAGAACCACTGTCCTAGACAGAAGGGGAAAAATAGAAGGGGAACTTTCCTTTCAATTTTCTTACTAAATAGATAAGACATGCCCCATTAATTTGCCTTCCTCTTTCTTTCTAGCACTGGCTGCTCTTGGTTGTAGTTGGAAGAAAGAATAGCAATGAAAAAACAACTAGCCTCAGAGCGAAGAGGGAAGAAAAATCATGGGATTAGTCTCTTACTCATTCCTTATTATAAGAAAGAAAAAAAGGCTGGCATAGTGGTGCCCCTATGGTGATAGAGGTTGTCCCAAGGCAGGGGTAGTGGTGGTTCCCAAGTTTGGCTCTAAAGTCTTTGTAAAAACTAGGGCCTTTTCACATTACAAATTTATAGCACCAAGATTCTACTTCAACTGCCATGGCTGAATAATCAAATCTTGGGGTTTGTAGTTTGATGAGACACTCAAGTTCTCTGGCTGAGAATTCTGAATACTCCACTCTTAAACTATATGTCCCAGGATGGCAAAGGATAGAGCCATGGCAGTTAAAGTAGGATCATGCAATCAAAGCATGGAGAAACATTGCCTCTCCAAATGTTTTGGATTATAGCATCCATAACTCCTTATCATTGGCTATACTGACTGTGCTGAATGGCAATTGTACGGGGGAAAAATCTGGAGGCCCATGACTCCCTACTTCTGATTTAGGGTCATATCAATAGTATAGCATTCAACTGCTTTAACTATTCATTTTCAGTGGATCAGCAATATTCCTGAATTTCAAGAATTTTCTGGTGGAAGCCATAACAGATTGGTATAAATCTTATTGTTTCTCTTCTATATATACCTGTAAATGATAGCCAATTATTAATTAAAGTGTTTTTGATCTTTTTTAATGACAAGGAAGGCTCTATATGGTTATTTTGGATGAGTGCTTTTTAATGCCCTAGCACTAAGTGCAGTTCTAGACAGCGATAAAGTCTGTGCCAACCTAGGCTTAAAAAACCCAGGTCGGGCCACACTGTAGTCCGCACACCAGCCTAGAAAATGAACGCTTTTGAGTCTGGGTGTCTAGATGCCCTCCCAGAACTTTCTGGGAGGACAGTGAGACACTTAGACCTCCTCCCCAAATCTCCCCAAAATCCTTTAAAAATAAAAGAACACACTCGACTGCCATTAGCGTGGTGCTGGAGGTCTCCTGGCAAGATTGCCCTATGTTCCAGGAGGGTTCCGGCACCAAGCTAATGGTGGCCAGGAAAGTACTTTAATTTTTAAAGGGTTTTCTTGGGGGGGGGGGGAGGGGTTGGGAGGGGGTGGGGGGTCTCTCGGGTTTCTTGGGCTCTAGGAAGAGAAGAAACCCAAGACAGATATGTAGATGGGCACTGGAAGTCACACAGCGTGATCTCCAGTCCCATCTATACAGCCCCCCACACCAGGAAAGACACAGGTCTTTCCAGCAGACAAATTACCTCTGTACAAAGCAGGGTTTTACTGCTCTGTGCCGAATGTAGTCACTTTTCCATAAAACATCATTTGGACACCCTAGGGGAAAACGCAGGAGGGCACAAACTATAGGTGCTATCTGGATGCACACTTAGTTTAAAATGCAATCTGATTTACTTACAAATTATATGAGCAATAAAAACTTCAAACCCAGAGATCAATTTTTGCCTCTTTTCCCCCCCATAAGACTCCACCCGACATAGTTACATATCAATGTGATATTGTACTGTATTTATTCTGGCTCTACTCAGAATCTGAGCTTCTTGCCCTTTGAAATGAAGTAAATATCTGAAGTATAGCAGATATTTGTGATTCTAGACTGAGTCACCTGAGGGTGTAAATTGGCCTTAGGGACTAGTTTTTCCTCTGGAAACACAAGTTACAATATACATATAATTTTTTGTTGCCATTCACATACCTTGTGTGAGTGGCAAGTCTCAAGCTTACATTTGATTATTCTTTGCAAATCCAATCTACAAAACCCTGTTGATTAGTCTCAGACCTGATTTATACGTACCCCTGTGGTGAGGTTGCCACTTTTGTGTGGTCAGAATCCCATGACGCAGCAGTAACATCTTCCCATGCTACCTCCGACAGTCTGACACACATGGTCTCCAATATAGAAGCTACTGCTGTGGTGTGAGATTCCAACCAGGTGGAAACAGCAACCAGTGACATCTGAGTAATTGCAGGAAAAACTCCAACGTAAGTAGAAATTTTGAAATCTACTGTTTGCATTTGACTTCAACGCAATAGAAAGAGTAGTAGAAATATCACTGTACCTTTGAGAGAGGAGGTGACGTGCACTATGACTTTCTCTTCTTGGCTTAGAAATCCACTCCCTTGGCTTTTGGATGTTGCCATAGAGGTAATCGGTTGAATCTCCGGCTTGGGTTTCTTGTTACTAAGGATATATGGGTGAACATCTAATGAAAAGTGCCGGGTGTGCTTTTTCTCACCACTTGTGCTGGAGAGGGTGCTGGATACAGTTTTTTGGGACAAAGATGTCTGAGGGTTTTTTGAGTTGGACTCAAGCAAAGGAGCAACCAGACTGTCTGTTGCGGTTTTCCGACGCACTGGTTTGGGCTTCTCAGACTTGTTGTTCTCAACTTTCATAATCGTTAACTGCTCTTTAAATGGTTGTGGAAGAGGATTTGTACTTGGTATCCATTTCATTTTCTTCCGGGGCCGCTTAATGACCAGGTGCTCATTAGGGTCGATGTCTGTGGGATCAATGCTGGGATCTATGGTTTGTATCCCAGAATCGCGTACGGTTGGGGTGACATCGTGATTGGATTGGGCTAATGCTGCAAGCAGCTGGCGCACCACATTGTCATACATCAGATCACTTTCATTGGTAATGAAATCCAAGCGGTTCAGTGACTTGATGTGGTCTCGATTTTCATTGCAAAACATCGCTAGGATATTGATGTCACAGAACTGAGACTTCTGCCACTGCTTTTTAGTCTTTATGCCCACCTTGTTCAGTTTGTCAAAGATGAAATTGGATTTGCGGACGATGAAAAGATGGATTAGATTGATGAGAATAATCAAGTTCATGAAGGAGAGGAGGACAATGTCTACACCAGCAATGATCCGTTGTAGTTGAACAGATGGCAGTTTGCAGTTCACCCGGATGAGTAATTTGGAATGGCTTGTTTTGTCGGGAGGTTGTCCGAGAGCACAAGTAAACTCATTTTGTTTCTGGGTAGCATAGTACGTGGACAAATAAGTGATTGGGATAATGCTCAGGAAGATGATGAACAAGTGTCTCACAAGATAAAGTTTGGCTAAGAAGTTACTGCGCCCTCTCCGTTCCAGGTATTTTTCAAACAGATTTTGCTCCGGACTCTTTTCTTTCTCAGCATTCTCGATGATCTCTCGTTTCTCTCGCTCTGTAATCCCAGGGCCCTTGGATTGGATTTGTTTTTCAATTTTGGGTGCACGACCTTCTGCAGCTCGGTGGTAGCAGTTATCTATCTCCTGGAGCAAAAAGTTAAGTTCAGACGTCAGTCTGGTGGAGGCCAGGAATTCCCAGCCAAGTGCTGGAATGTACATAATGCCAGCGAAAGCCAGCAAGGCATATGGAAGGAACTTATGCTCAAACAAGGAGGGCCAATGGCTGGCATTGACTCCTGGCAAGGCATCTCTTAGTTCTGTCCAACAGTATCCTCGGGCATACAAGGCTTGGTCACGCGTGAAGTTGTGGGGTGTGTAACAGTATATGGGCTCCTCTGTATAACAGAGAGAAAAGTCACTGCTGTACAATTTAACCTACAAAAGGAGCTCTGCAAAATAAATATTTCATAAACTATATCAATTTCTCACCTATTACATGTTTAAAATAACATCAAGTACACAGAGATGTATCATTCCCAAAGGGTTAAATATATCCTCTTCCCAAATTATGATACAAAGCACAGGGAAATGTTATTACCTTAAAAATGTGATGATTAAGTTGAAGTAAGACTATAGTGTAAGTACTTACACAAATTCTCTTGACTTTTGTTACCCACGCAAATCATAATACATTCTGGAAAGCAAATGAAGAAGATACCACTTCTGCATACTAAATGAAGGCTCGTGTCCCTTGACATATCAAACTATGCTATGTATCTCTGTCCTCACAACTGCTCAGATTATAATTAAAAAATAATGGCAATTTTAAAAAGCTTGTGGCCAATTTTTTTAGCTACATTGCTTCACTTGCTTCAAGTCTGAAGCAAGGCAAAATACACTTGGGGCAGTTTCTCTCTTACTGTATCACCGAATAATCTAGGGAGGTAAACTCAGTTCCTCATAGTTCCAAAACTAACAGAATCTTTGAGATCATAGCAACAATAATTGATTTTGTGTTATTGAAGGCTTTCATGGCTGGAATCATTGAATTGCTGTGAGTTCTCCAGGGCTGTATGGCCATGTTGCAGAAGCATTCTCTCCTGATGTTTCGCCCACCTCTATGGCAGGCATCCTCAGAGGTTGTAAGGTCTGCTGGAAACTAAGCAAGTGGGGTTTATATATCTGTAGAATGTCCAGGATGGGACATTCCACAGATATATAAACCCCACTTGTCTAATTGCCACCCTGGATATCCCACAGGTATATAAACCTCACTTGCCTAGCTGCCACCCTGGACATTCCACAGATATATAAACCCCACTTGCCTAGTTGCCACCCTGGACATCTCACAGATATATAAACCCCACTTGCCTAGTTGCCACCCTGGACATCCCACAGATATATAAACCCCACTTGCCTAATTGCCACCCTAGACATTCCACAGATATATTTATTTATTTATTTATTTATTTATTTACCTACCTTACTTATATACTGCTGTTCTCAGCCCAAAGGCAACTCACAGCGGTTCACAACAAATACGAACAGCAAAAATTCAGTGCTACAGTATAAAGACAGTTAACAATCTAACACATTACACAATTAATAAACAGTTACTACAATACCCATTCACTGTCGTCTCGTCATCAAAAACATGTTCCAGGTTCGTCATCCATTGTTCCATTCCAGTGTTCATTAACCAATCATTGCACTAATTATTCGAACGCCTGCTCAAACAGCCAGGTCTTCACTTTTCTGCGGAATACCATCAGAGATGGTACTAGTCTAATGTCCATAGGAAGGGCGTTCCACAGCCGAGGAGCCACCACCGAGATATATAAACTCCATTTACCTAGTTGCCACTCTGGACATTCCACAGATATATAAACCCCACTTGCCTAGTTTCCAACAGACCTCACAACCTCTGAGATGCCTGCCATAAGTATGGGAAAATGTCAGGAGAGAATCCTTCTGGAACATGGCCATATACCCCAGAAAATTCATAGCAACCCAGTAATTGATTTAATCTATTTAGTTGTCTTTTATCCTGCCCTTCCTTACAAATGTCCAGAGCATCTCTAATAGACTTGGAGGCTTTAAACTGAGTAACATTTGCAAGTCCCACATCTGCTTTGCTGTGCCAGATTCTTCTAATTGCAATTAATTCTGCTACTTGTAATGAATCAGGGAAAGATAGTTTACAATTACCCGACAACTGGGACTGTAGCAGCTGTTTTTAAAACCAGCTCCAAAGAAGGTTAGGTTCAAACACAGCAGACAGATGCATTCTAACCATTACATAGAAGTGACAACTTTCCTCACAGCATGTTGCAACAATAATCCATCACGCCACATCAGATTTAAGTCATATTTCAATTCTAATTGGCCTGGCAGTGGCTAGACTGGGCTCTAAATCATAACTCAGTGCAATGGCTGCAGTGCTGGCTGCTACAGAATACCAGGCTGGCAGGTGAAAACTGATGCGATTCCTTCATGCTCTATCTGTGTCACAAAAATGGCTGCAGGCTAGGAAATCCACATAACTGACTGCTAGTAATGCTTTCTTGCAACTTGAACCCTAAGCTTTTAGTTGTAAAACACTATGGTGAGAAGCAAAGCAAACTGGTTTTGCACAATTCTATCAGCATCATCCTGACATGAAATATATCTCCTAGGAACAGATGAAAGCAATCAGTTGAGCACCATGTTTATCTTCTTGGAACCATATTAAAGTATAGATTTAAGAAAGTACTGTAGAATCCCTGTATTGGTAAGGGATATGTTCTAGGATTTCCTATGAATATGCAAGGCTGTGAGTATTGAGCATACCACAGAGTCGTGGCAAAGGATCTATGAAATGCCTAGAACGGACAGCTCTCTAAGCATCACTAGGTCCTTCAGCATAGCTCCATGGTGAATCTCTTGCAGAAGCATATTATAGAATCATCTTGGGGACCTAGAAAATCTTCAGAGGACATATTTTGGATATGAAACCATGGATCCTGGTCCTGCAGATACAAAAGTTGTACTATAATAACACACTTAGCACATCATGTATAATCATGTAAGGGAAGAAGTCAATAAGAGCCCAAGCACCTTCTTCTCCTCTGCCAGTATGATCTCTAGGGCCCCTTCCTACACAGCTGAATAAAATCTCACATTATCTGCTTTGAACTGGAATATATGGCAGTGTGGACTCAGATAACCCAGTTCAAAACAGATATTGTTGGATTTTCTTCCTTGATATTATGGGTTATATGGCTGTATGGAAGGGCCCTAGATAAGAAGTTCCCACCTTCATTGCAGATTAACCAGATTAGTGCTATAATTAAACCATACACTGTGGTTAACCAGTAATTATTACTAGTGAAAATGTATTTATTTATTTAGCAATTTTGTATACCGGTCTTCTCCCCTCTATCAGGGGACTCGGGCCGGTTTCCAACAATAAAATCACAAACTTTGTCCTGCACATATCCATGATGATTAGTAGAAACAAGTTTGAAACTGGCTTGTTTATGTTAATTCTCATTATGCATTAGTTAAGGACTGATAACTTTCTGTGGTTCATCTTTATAGCATTCCTAACACTACAATGTGATTAAATATTGTGTGAGAATTCAGAAAAAGACTGTTGAGCAGTGAACAGAAGAATGACTGAAAGTATTTAGGCACACACGCACAAACTCACACACATGATCAGAGAATTTTGGCTTTACCAAAATACAATTCTTTCTAAGTACACAGAGACCCCTTCCACAGTTGTATAAAATGATTTGCTTTGAACTGGATTATATGGCAGTGTGGACTCAGTTAACCCAGTTCAAAACAGATACTGTGGATTATCTGCCTTGATATTCTGGCTGTGTGGGCCCAGAAAGACATATATAAAAATATCATATATATCATATTTCACTGATTCTAAGGTGCACCTTTCCCCATTTAAAGAGCTTCAAAAAAGAGATGTGCTTTAGCTTTGCGGAGTATTTTTCTTTCTTTCAAAACTGTGTTACATCTGGGTCCTTCCATACAGCCATATAACTCAGAATATCAAGGCAGAAAATCCCACAATATCTGCTTTGAACTGGGTTATCTGAGTCCACACTTTGATACAGTGTTCCCTTGCTACTTTGTGGTTAGCTTTTAGCGGACCCGCTGTTTTGTGGGTTTTTGGAAATATTAATAACAAATATAAAATATGAAATATTTACGTCCAGTGGAGGCCAGGGGTCTGCAGAGGCCAGGGAGGCAGGCAGGTAGTCTTGGGATGGACCGGGAGGCGGGTAGGGAAGTGTGGGTAAGAAAATAATCTATAAAATAATGTATAAATATTAATATTAATATGGTGTCCCTACTTCGCGGATTTTCACTTATTGCGGGTGGTCCTGGAACGGAACCCCCGCAATAAGTGAGGGAACACTGTAATGTGGGATTTTTTGCCTTGATATTCTGGGATATAGGGCTGTGTGGAAGCACTCTGAGTCCACACTGCCATATATTCCAGTTCAAAGCAGGTAATGTGAGATTTTATTCAGCTGTGTGGAAGAGGCCTTAGGGTTCAGCATATTCTATGGCATTAGGCAATACTGAATGACTGGAACTCTGACCATTGCAACAACAGACCTTTGAATGGGGTGGGGGGAAAAAGCTCCCACGAGTTCAGCTGAAAAAGAGAGGTGTTGTATATGAGTAACAAGCCTGACACATGACAAAAGACTGTCGTTTTCAATCCAACCAAAGCTTACTATGCACACAAAACCAGCTGGAACAAATGAGAACTCTATAGGAACACACACCTGTTCGGTATGGCATAATATTACAGCAGTGTGGACAGAAAGCAGTTTTTTTGACCCAAGGACCCAGCTTATGAATAAAAATACAACACAATAAGTGCATTATTTGATTGCTCTTTTTATTGAATAAAAAGCAGGCATCCCATTGTTCCTGTGAACAGGTCTAAAAAGAATAAATACATTAATATAGCCATGGATCCTCTTCTTTCTGGAAAATAAATTATAAATATGTCTAGTTAGTTTAAACAGCTCTTACATTTGTTTCCCACAATATAACCATAGCAGCTTCACCCACCTTTTCTGAGAAATTCTTAACATATAAAAAAGCATTATTAAAAGATGTGTTACCAGGAGCCTGAATAAAAATCTGTCAATTTTCTTTTTACTGTAGTTCTTAGAATCCTACCAAAATTCTGGTCTCAGTTTCTATATCGGTTGTGCAACCTTTTCTCCTTTCATAGAAACTTATATTTATATTGAGGTGCCTCTTTTCTAATTTAAATATTTGTTTGCATTTTCCTTATGCATAACTTATCCCTGTTGGATAAAAGATGTTTGTGCATGTTTCTCATGCATGCAAACATTATTTATCCATATAAAAA